TGCTCTTCCGATCTATATACACTTCTCAACAAAATTAAAAAATCCTGTTTTATCTTTCATAAATAGGCAAATTTTAAGATAGATTTACTTTGCCAAAAATGATCGCAACAAAATTTTTCAAAAAACATTTTACAACTTGAAGTTTCCACTCTTTAAATTGATACTGATTGAAACGACTAATTTGTTTCGGTGCCGTATAAATACAGATGCGACAAATCATAAAATTTTTCCTAAACTTTGCAAAGTTCCATGGCGTGAATCGCATAGAAATACGGTATACAGCTTTCGAAAGAGTGAATCTTTTTTTTTAATTTGCTTTTTTTTGTTGAGCGTTGTACAATTTCTTTTTACCGAGTTACTCGACATTGAAATAAAAGTCGTTTTTTATATAAATGGAGATCTCCATTTATACCTTTGCAGCTCCAAAAAGAATTAGTCGTTTTCTAAAATATCAATTTATAATTGGAGACTGCAAGCTGTAAAATAATTTTTGAAAAATCTCATTATTATATCTCTTGAAATCTATCTGTTTTTGGAAAATAAAACAGATGATCCCTTAATTTTGTTGAATAGTGTATATACATATATGTGATTTATGTATAATTTATATAACTATAATTTAATAATTTATATAAATTTTTAAACATTTACAAAATATAAAGTATATAAAATAACGTTTAAATATTTAAATATTATGATATTATATAATCTAAAAAAATTTTGTTTTTTGCAGGCACTGTTCTTAATTTGTGGATTAATTACTGGTTGTTATTGTTGTTGCTGTTGTTGCTGCTGTTGCTATTTCTGTTGTGGTAAATGTAAACCAGCTCCTCCTGAGGATAGCGGTGCATACCATAATTTACAGGTAAAAACGTTTATGCAATTTTTATTATTCATTTTTGTGATAAATTTTTTACAAATATTTAAACTATATGCCGATACAAAAAAGTTAAATATATATAATGATATGGATAAATAGTAAAGAAAGAGAAGTTTATTTAATAAATGCAAAAAAGAGAAATGCAGACATAAGAAAGTTTTTATTTATAAATTATCATACCAAGCCGACTAAGAAACTTACTATTTTTTTCTATTTTTATTATCTTTCTGCAAATTCATCATTATCAATAGTCTAACTTATCTTGGAGTATATTATCCAAAATTTGTCTTCTTTACCAACAGAAACATTTAGAGTACTGGTCAAGAGTACTGTTTTCTGTTGTACAATCTCTCTGTTTGAATGAAACATTTGACAATTATATTACAAACTGTGAAAACAATTATGTATTATGTTTCTATCTTTTGCAATTTTTTTTTATATGCAAACTAATACCACTTCCTTTTACACATCTGTCTTCGGCACTCTTTGTTGCAAAGTAGTATGAGGAATTAAGCAAAGACATAACATACCTGGTCTGTCCCAAAAGTAATGAGACTAATTTTGGCGTCCCAATCATCATTGTCGGAGGGTGGATCCATTGACCTTTGGAACAGGATGTCAGATATATAGTCTTGACTCTTTCCCGTTGCTTCCAAGCCTTTCTAGCAGTCGATACCGTCAATAAAGTGTAATTTTTTATGTCTTGTCACGGGTGAAAATTTTAACAGACTCGAGTAGCGATCAAATTCTGCGTGAAACTGGAAAAATTTGATTGCGAAACGTTGGAGATGTTGAGAACAGCTTATGGAAATGTTGCTTTGTCTTCAGAATTTGATCGTAACGTTGCTCAAAATACAGCACAGTCTGTGCTGAATTTTCGTCCGTGACAAGACACAAAAATTACAAACGTACTTTGCTGACGGTATTAACTGCTAGAAAGGCTCAGAGGCAACTGAGAAGGTTCAGATTGTATACCTAATATTCTGCACCAAAGACCCTGACCATGAAATCACTCCCCACAATTCTGATTGAGCCCCCAAAAAATAGTCTCATTATTGGGACAGACCATGTATATATTTTTATATCTACTTGGATTTAAAATTAAATTTAGCCATAACGACGCACGTTACGAGTATAATAACAAAAGCTTTACTTTTGTGCAGTCAATTGATACATTGTTCAAATATGTACAACCTATGCTTCACGAAAGTATAAATAAAATAAACGTTTTTTCTATGTCAATTTATATGAAGAGAATAAAAATCTATTCTTGCTATAGATTTTGCATTTTACGATTTATTAATCATTTGCTATAACTTTTTAAACTTTCCGTTTAATGTTAATGAATTGATAATATTTTAAATATTTATCCTCCTCTACTTAACTTTATAAATTCTTTGATAAATTTAGATTTTCTATTTTAGAATATATATCTTCAGATAAATTCATTAAACTGTGATATCTTTTTTGATATTATAAATATTAATATCTTAAAAAATAATAAAAGTTTTAATGTAATTAAAAGAATAAGTATTGATATCTTCACTTTTTCTTGACTTCAAAATATTTTATTGACGATCAATTTAAGACAGAAATTACCAACATGTCGTCATTGATTGAAATCACACCGTAATGTATATAATCTTATCTGTAGTCGACAGAAGACACTATCCATTTAATGAGTTATCCTAAATTAAGTCTGTCCAAGTTTTTGCTCGCAAAACGTGTCTCTGTCTTGCTAAGCAAAAGATTTAGATGGAAAAAAAGAAATAAAAGAAACAGACATTAATATTATCCATTATTAGATTATTATATCGACGCGTTGTGTATCATGCATTAATTGTAAGATCGATAGTTTTGTCGTCAGAAAAATTTATACGATGGTCAACAATTGCAGATGTGGATAAGAAATTTCTTTGCTCAATGAATTTGGATAGACTTATAAATCCTGTGTCATGTAACACTGCGCATCTAAATTCAGTAATACAATTAAATGCCATTAATATTAAATGCATTACATGCACGTACACACACACGCACACGCGCGCGCGTGTTGCATTTAGTTGCGTGCACACAAACACTCACATTGACACAACATCTATAGTTGAATTTAAAAAATATCGAAATATAAATCTCTCTGAACTCTTTTTATATTTACGCGTAAATTTTTGGCACATAGTTGGAAAGCATATCAACGAGGAAAGAATATCTTAGTAAATTGGTATCTAATTGCAAAAACAAGCATTTAAGGAGTTCATGCAACTTATATACATGATCGACATATAATGCATAAAAATTTGTATTCATATTAAAGAATGCAAGTATTATTTATTAGAAGCTTTTCTTTTTAGAAGCACTATAGGCGCTTTATATTGGCTTAGCACAGCTCTTGAAAAATTTTTAGCTATGAAAATTTAATTTAATGTCAGACGCGCGCGCGCGTATTAAAAAGGATGTTTTTGAGCTAGTACGATCAAAAAATTCTTTATGAAAAAATGTTTAAATAAATTTTATTGTAAAAGGCTTTATTTTTAATAAAAATAACGTGAAATATAAAGACTAAATGACATATTTACGCTTTTGTAATTTTGATAAGCATTTATGAATTCTTTATACGCTAGTGAGTTGTCATTCACTATCAAAATATGTATAAAAAGGACACAACATTCTATTGAAAAAATAATATTTATACATAACTTCTTTTGTAATTTAAATTGTTTCATTTAATATTTTCTACATTTTTTACTTGAACATTTTTTCATGAACAGTCATCCCCTTTTTCATTACCATGAATTCGATGACACCTTGAATACATGTACGTGCAGATACACATGCTTACACTGATAGTTGTTTCTATGTTTGTATTAACATGACTGAAATAAAATATCATTCCTATACGTAGATGGCATCAAACAAAATTTTGTTATACTTTTTAAAAAGCATATAAAAATACATAAGTTTAATTTTAACACTATTATTGCTAATTTATTTAATTCATCTCATTTTGTATAGAAATATCCGTTTATTCAACAAATTTTTACAGGTCGCTGTATATCTGTTATTTGTGTAAAACAGCATAAACTGAAAGTGCATGAATTCTTATTGTTCACGCATGTTAAATTATGTTTTGTTTCACATATAGTTTAGCGATTTTGTTTATGTTATTATTGTATTATAGCGGAACCAGAATCCAGAGCCTGTAGTGACAAATCAACCGCGAAGTTTTGGCAAGGTAAGTTCTCATAATGCTTGAGATTTAAGTTGCTTTTCTTTCTTTTTGCTATGATTAATCGTAAATGCATATTACTTTCAATTTTTGTTATCGTTCGATTATATCAAAACGATTTCGCACAAACCTTGCGCAATGCACAATAGTAGTTTCCTTAATTATACATATTTTGTTATAATATTAATATGCGCTTTTACTTTCTTTTAGTGATCAATGTAAAACATAAATTATTGTAGTGTCCTTATTCCGCACAATTGCATGATGTACCATATTTGCAATTATTCAAAACGGCAATTTCTTAAGTGGATGCATTATATTTAAATTTTATAGCATATATAGAACTCACATGTGACTATTCATAAAATATTTTGCACAACTACTAATATATTAAACCATTATTTAATTTGTAATATGTTACCGTTATTTTTAATATGTAAATATACTCTTGTAAATCATAATGGATCTTTTGTAAAACATAAAATATTCATTCTTTTAATGAAATGTCGATGTTTTGTATTAATTTTTACTTCAATAATGCATTCTTACTATTTGAGAAGAAACATTTTGTATTGTATTATTCATAATGAAAAAGTCAAGAGAGATAGCTTATCACAAAATTATTAAAAGATACGCACATCCACATATGTTCAAACAAAGAGAGAGAGAGAGAGAAAGAGAATAACTGTAGTAATTCCAAAGAAAATAATTAAAAACAGATACATATTGCTTCTCTTGTATTTCTTTTAATACTGTCTATTTCTTCAATTCCAGAATTAAATTCCACTAATTAAAAAATCTTGAATAGGTTTACAATTTGATTTTTTTTTTTTTCTTGTAAAATTCATCATCTTTATTACAATACCTTCACATGTATTATCAAACATGTCATTCAATCAAGTTGACTTGGTATGAACATAAAAAATAATATTCGAAGATGACAAAATATTATATACGTATAAGAATAAAATTAGAAAGAAGTTTTAAGAAATCAATTGAAATATGATTTTAGATATAAATCTTAGATATAAGTCTTAGATTGCGTTAAATTGACTTATATTTTATCAACTTTTATATTATAATTAACACTAATCTGAAATATATAATTCTTTATTCGGTATTTTATAATTGCAAAAAGGAAAAACATACAATTATTTACTGCAACATAAAATATTTAATAAGTTCTTATTTTTGTGTGACATATATAAAATATATTTCAAATAACTACTCTACAAATAAATGGTACAGTGAGACGTATTATATTTTCGGATATCTAAAATATACTTTTACAGGAAGAAGAAAGCGATGATGATGCTGTGACAGCTCAACCTCAAAGTGGTGCATCACAAAATGCATCTAATATACAGCAACCAATATTTGCAATGCCTGCACCGGGATCAGCGGCACCAACATCAACAGCTAATGAAAGCACGAATCTAAACAGTGGCGGCGAACGTGTGATTTATACCACTGGTATTACGAGTTCTTAAATGTAGAAAATGCATATTACGAATTTTATCTTTTGCATATTGCTATTCATCATCCAATCCACGTCTTCGTCCAAAATCATTCATTCTATTTCTTCTTGCCCGCTCTTTTTTCTTTTTTTTTTTTTGTTTGTTAATCACTATGTTATCACTTCTTCATATTGATAACAATTTTAATACATAGAGGAAAACGTTATCAGAGACACTAAAATAATGTTTTAATTATGTCAATGTTTCTTATATACTTTAGTAATGGTTACTTAAAACTTAAATAATAAATATAGGGTCATTTTTGAAAAGTGTATGTAAAACACGGCGATAATTATATCTCCTTTATAGTCCAACAAGATAAACAGTATAAAGCTTTGACAGTGTAAAGCCTTCTTTATAATTGCTTTTTTATATAGGGCAAAATTATGTGTCACGGGTTTGCCACAAATAGAAATTAATAAAACTATATTGCAAAAATAATGCATGCTTCCATAAATCAAACGAAAATCTCTGTTCTTAATAATAGAAAGATACTGTCAGAGTGAGAACGCGAACGTCTTGTTCCTCTGAAAAATAGCATTAATTATTTTTTGAAAGAGCTTTGTATTTGCCGTTTATTCTTCATATAGATTCGTGTAGCAAACAATTAGTTACATACGAATGTACTTTATACTAGTTATTTTATCGTGAATGTCATATAATTGTACATACTCAAATATATGTGTGTGTGCATATATATATAAAACGTAAATATACATATACAGGGAATACGCTTAATGATAGCTTATCAAATTATTCCCTAAGTATAATCTCTAAACTACAAAATTTATGTATAAAGAGGATATATATATTTTTTTCTTGTATATATACGTATTCGCTAGAAAATATCGACATTAAATTGGCTTTAAAAAATCACTAAAAGGCGTCTCTAATGTTTGAAAATCACTAAAGATCCTTTCAATGACAAACTTAATTTTTTTCTTAAAATACTAAGAAACATTATCATTTATTGTAGTTTTTCAATTTTTTGTATCATTTATCTTTATAATTATGTCTCAAATTCTCTTTTAAAGTAAACTTTATCTATAATAATAAAAGAATATAATTTTTTTGTTCATTTGACTTTCCAAAGTCTTATTTGCAAAACTTTTATCGTTCTCGTTCAATCGTCTATAAATCGAAAATAATTATTGATGCTTCGATATTTTCATTTCAAAAAATATTGTATTTTTAAATTAGCCAAGAATCTATTATTTAAAAAAACCGGTGATTTTAAGACACCCTATATAAATATAGATAGATATCTACATACATGTATATATAAATATAAAAATAACTACTTATGTCTAAAGGAGAGATTTTTTGATTAAATGATTGATTGATAAGTGTGTATACACACACATATATATATATATATATATATATATATATATATATATATATAAAATTTTTATGCTATTGTTATCATCTCTTTATGCACTTTTACACATTTCGATGTTTCAAATATTACAATATTCAAGTTCTG